GTTTTTTTTACCTTGACTCAAAGATAGACGGGGAAAACACAATGAATAAGTCAATTTGTCTATTAATTTATGTGAAACACACAGTTCGTTTTTCTTATTCCTGCACAAACTAACACTACGCCTTAGTTCAAATATTTTCCTTTATCTTTATTGTCCTACATTTCAGTATTTACTAGATAAAGATGACCGTTCTCTTTTGTCCATTCCATCTGTACTCTGTTTAACTAATTAAGGCGGAGCTTTAAAATCTATACACGGTATCCTCTTTTGTTGTTACTTTTTTGTTTTCTCCACCAGTTCACTAAGGCGTTTCCATTTTTTTTTATTCGCTATTATTTATCTGTTGACTTTTGAAAAATCTGACCAGTCTTCACGATAACACGTTTGATTTTAGGTAGCTTATCAATGAAATATATATATATATATATATATATATATATATATACATTGTTGATAGTGCAGTAGTGTTTATTCTACTCATCCAGTGTACGTCTTTACTTCCATATACTGTACTACATCCTATCGTATCATGAAAGGTGGACATGAGCAAAAGAAAATTTGGACTTATAGTAGCTTACTTTTCTGCTGTTTTGTTCATGTGCAATGAAATAATGACTCAAAAAATATTAAAGTGGTGCCTAGAATTATATGTAAAACCGGCAACTGTTTTGAGCCTGTATCTGCGAATATCATCCTACAAATTACGAATGTACAAACACTCTTATAAGTGCTATTTACTGGTAGGTAGCTTAAGGCATCTTAAGATTTTTAAACAAAAGTGAAGCGACTTAGTCTTCACTTACATCACATTAGGGATTTTAAAGCTTTTGGATTCAACTGGATTATGCGTCAGACAGTGGGGATATCCTGGACCGACTAGAAGAACCTAGAAAACCTGGATTTCGCGCGTGGATGATTTATGTTTGATGTCACACAAAATCTAAGACTTACAAGCAAAAACCGACCGACACACTGGTCGAAGAAGCAGCCGGCGAAGACAGGACTCCAGGCGAGCATAGACGAGACGGGGGTTATGAAAACAACCAACCAGCCAACAACAACAACGGCAGCAACATCCAGCGTCAATCACCATCGACGGGAGAGGTTTGAAAGAGGTCACTTCATTCACTTATATAGGTAGGGAGCATTGTCTCAACTACGGGCAGTTGGAACGGACGAGGATGGCAAATCGAGCGAGAATCGGGAAGGCGAGAGACACATTCATCAACCTGAAACCAGTCTGGAAACCAATCTTCGTCACTCAGCCAGAATCAACAACAAAATTCGGTTGGATTTTCAATACTAACGTCAAATCAGTCAGCTCTTCTATACGGATGAGAAACTTGGCAGGTGGGTCACAAAGAATATTTCCAACAGCCTGTTGCAGACCAGACCCTTATCAACCAACAACTGTCTTCGCTGGATCTATACTGAAGATCAGATGGCCGGGCTGGAAAGGATCACCAACAAGAAACTATGGCTGGGAACAAACAAAACAAGAACCAATCGCCAGCCAACAGCAAATGTGCAGGAGAAAGTGGAGATGGATTGGACACTGGCTGGGGAGGCCGGTTGGTGACATCGCGCGCGCGTCAGGCCATTGCTCGAGTGGAACCAGGCCGAAAGGGAAGCGGCGAGTTGGACGTCTAAGAGTGACATGGAGGAGATGGTGTGAAGAGGAGTTGAAAGAGTATGAACTAAAATGGATTCAGGTGAAAAGCACAGTAGAAGGAAGACAGAAGCAAGTGGAGTCGTTCAGTTGAAGCCCTATGTTCTACCAGGAACCCAAGGGAACAATAATAATATTATAGTACATGTGAATGTCGTCACTTTTGCACAAATCTTTCTTAGTGGATGATTAATATGCATATATACATATAATATCTTCGCACTGAATTTTCCTGTTGTTGGTTCTCACTTTTTAATCTTTAAGTGAATGAGCTCGAAGCAGTTCGTCCCTTTGTCATCGAAGTAGGAATAGAAATATGATATTTGATAGTTCGAAATCACTATTCTTCTTAATACAAATTAGACTGTGAGCATTTATTTACTTTATAACTTTTCTCTTCCCTATAGAAAGCGGTCGATTTAAAATGACATTTAATTTGTTAACTTTGTTGTCTAATTAACATTTGTGCATATGAATAACTGTTCACTTCTAACTTGGCAAATTTTACTTGTTAAACACGTCTGTACTAAAATTCCTTTCACAAGACTTGTTTATTTTTAAGTAGATCGCTAAGTAAAAAAAATAGGTTAATTTATTGGTTAGCAGATATCACATTGTTTACACCTCAGTTGAGGCGTGTTTCATTAGGTGCAAAACATTGAAGATGGAGTGAAATCATAAATTTATCCCTTATGATCTGGATCTAGACTTCGCCGATGATATATGTCTGATTTCCCACAAACTGAAAGATGTGCAAGTGAAAAGCAACAAGCTGGCAGAAGAAGGATCAAAGATAGGACACCATTCAGGTGAACATAGATAAAACAGAGGTGATGAAGATTCCTGGCCAACACCAACAGCAGCAACAACAACAGACAACAATCAGCCAGCATAAATGGGAGGAATCTGAAAGAAACAACCTCCTTCACCTACCCACCTACCTGAGAAGCATCGTTTCAACTACACGTGGACGGAACTGAAGAGGATATCAAAGCCAGGAACATCGGAAAAGCAAGACGAGCTTTCATTACTCTCAAGTCTGTGGGGAGGTCAACAGCACTCACCATCAAAAATAACATCCGGATTTTCAACTCCAATGTGAAGTGAGTCAGTCAGTGCTACTATACGATTGGATCAGAGACTTGGCCAGCGCGTCATAAACAGCATCTCAAACAAACTACAGACCTTCATCAACAGCACTTGTCTTCGCTCAACACCACTGAAGATCAGATGGCCGGCCGGCCGGCCAGAAAAGATCAGCAATAGGGTGGGATCTCTGGCAGTGAGCGAACCAACCCAGCAGGAACCGATTGTGCAACAAATAGACAGGAAGAAATGAAGATGGATTGCATTGTGGCCATACTCTGAGGAAACCCTCAAGTGACATCACTAGATAAGCCATTGCTCGAGTGGAACCCGAAAGGGAAGCGGGTGGCGAGTTGGTCGTCAGTGACAGGGTGGGGTGACTTGGAGGAGGTTATGTGAAGAGGAGATGAAATCGTGTGGGCAGACTTGGAGAAGGGTATAAAACTTGGCTGAAAACCGAAGGCAGTGGAGACGCGCAACTGAAGCCCTATGTTCCTCTAGGAATTAAAGGAAATAATAATAATATGATATACCACCATTCTTGAAGTGATAGATAGTGGTGTTTACTAATTGCGTGAATATGTTTTCTTTCTGAGTATTGCTAAATGTGAAATTTATGGCAATCATTAGTGAATTACCCGTGTTTTCTTGAATTTATAATAGATATACAAAATGTAAATTAGAGTCTTTATTGCTTCCATTTTGCTTTTCGTGATAGATGCTAGTTGGAAATGGTGGAGAACGTACCAGCAACGGAAAGTTGCTAATTTCCTGATTCTGCAGGTGTTCGTGCTTTAGCCTATTAGTGCCTGCATGTCGAAATACATATATATATCTATATATATATATATATATATATATATATATATATATATATATAGGATATTAATGATGTAGACGCAACAATGCTACTATAATTATATTAGTGTTTATGGAATGCTTGTAATTAGTGTTCAACTTTGTTGCTGCTTATATCAAATCATAGTTAAACCAATCAACCTTCCTTTTTGAGTTTTATGTCGAATTTATTTCGCAAGAATAATTTCTAGGGTTAGTAATAGGAAGAAATACTGTCTATAGCTAGCTGTTTTGAGAGTGATACGTATACATGCTGGCAACATCTGATACTGGGTTTCATATATCATGTGTTCAGCAAACCCAGGAGCAAAGTGCAGTAACAAGAGTGTGTACTTGTAGTAGTAGTAGTAGTAGCGCTAATGACAGCAGCTCAGTCTATAAAGTGGTGCCAGGGAATAAAGGATATTTGTCTTGGGTATATCCCTGTAGAAGTCAATGGCTTAAATTCTCATCACACTTCGATAGAGGATAGATAATATAAGTGATGTTGACATAGTTTCTTCATGTCTTTCCTCATCTAGAAGAACTATGAAGTTAAAGGGAGAAGCGTTTCGATGATATTTCGTAAGGTAACCTTTATACAATATTTATTATGCTACACTTTTTCCTTTGTCTTTAACGTCTTCGTAGCTTAGTTTTATCACTGTGTGATCATATCATCTCTATGCTATTCTTGTTTTACGAATTTTTCTTCATTTATCATACCTTACGCTTGAAAATAATAATTGCGGGCGATTTACTTTTCATGCATCTTCATTTTGAATGTGGAAGCGAAAATGGCACTTTCTATTTAGCTATGCAACAGTATATTAAGCTTACTACTAGACGACTGGAGGGAATCAGTCGACCTGGTAAAGCTGAGGGTGGGTAGGCTTCGGTCTTTCTCTGAAAATGCTGTCGTATGGCCTCACCTCCATAACCTCTACCAGGTAAGTCCTGTTCACTGCCTTCATATGCTGGGGTTGTTCCTCACGGTAGTCGAATTCCGAATGTGAAAACCTGGAGCTTACAGTCAGGCTGATGGATATGGAGGTCTACCTAGGGGAGCAGAAAACTCTGGTCCCAAAACTACATTGTACATGGGCTCCAGAATCCAAATGGCGTGTGAATCTGATTTAGTTACCGGAAACCATGAGAACGTAGTTTTTGGCGCTGACTCAAAAGCTTGTGGATCAGGTTTCAAGTCCAAGACTCGGGAATTCGCCCCCGCCCCCACCTACTTCGGTCTGGGTGTCCAGGCAGTATCCTAACCCTCGTAAAGACTATGAGAGTTTGTGCGGCATATATATATATTTCTTGTGCTTAGGTGGTCGCATATGATCGTGTTACTCCGAGGTTAAACTGTATTTTCTACTTATACCATTTATAATTCATTTATATTTCAAAGGTGGGACCATTTCATGATCATTTCTCACAAATATTTGAATTGGCTTGGAATGAAAAGTTGGATTCCCCTGATTTTCATAACAAAAAGCATGAGTGAGTTCATCGAGCTTAATTTAAACTATGCTTGTTTATGTTTTATGAAATATTTTTTATTATCAAGTTTAATAAGCCCTCATATTACAGATAATTGGAAGTAGTATATAGAATGCTGTATACATAATCTGTAGTTGTTTTTGTTGTTATTTTTTCATATGTATATGCGTCCAAATAACTTACATTACATTTCACACACTGATCAGTATCCTTATTGAATATTCGTAGATTTACGTTTATAATCGGTTATGCGTGGGATACTTTGTTGTCATGTTTGTGTTGTGTTAAGTGTTTTGTTTATTCGTAGATACTTTGTCCTACTGAAAAAAATATTAGTAATACCGATAATAACAGTAATGGTAATAAAAGTGAAAAACTTCTTAGCCTTCATGGTTTATTGAAGTTAGTGATTTTCTCTCCAAAAACGAAATGGACAAGTTAACTAGGCGCTCAATTTGTTATTGCTGTATTGCTCTGTTGCAGTGTAAAATTCATCCTTGTTAACACACAGTTTCTCCCCGCCTTGGTCTAGCGGTATCAACCGGGGTTGTATTCTTGGGTCACATAAATTTAGTCTGATCCTTGCGTTATTATAAATGTTCACATGATTGTTCGTGCGTCGGTGGCATAGCGTTTAGGACTCTCGCCGACCATTCAAATGGTCCGGGGTTCGATCCCCGGCCGACTCACTCCTTTACCTCGCCAAGCCAGTAGTGAGACTGGTAAAGAGGAAAGGTTGGGGATGAGGCTAACAACCCCATCTTGCAAAAATAATCACAACTGCTACAGAAACTTCAAGCCACTAGCTTGGAGCCCTATGTTCCACTGGGGAACGTGAAGGAAAAAAAAATTATTGTTCAGTTGAATTGTTATGGTTATCAGTTATGGAATCAGTTATATTTTCGGAAGGATAACATAAGTGGAGATAGGATATTTCAATCAATATTTTATGTCATGTCCTGTTAGGCTGATCTATTGTTTTGTAAATTCTGTCCTCAGGATAACCAGAAACAGTTTGGTACTCTTGAATCGCAATAGTTTGTATGTTAGTATAAAATACTCATTGTTTATGGAAACTGATATGAGTGTTTTTGTCTTCACATCCACTGTTACACGGGTGCTAAAAGAGACTGTCTTACTGGATAATAGCTCTTTATTCTTATCTATTTAAAACTACAATTCATATGCTTAGTAGCCTTTTTTTATATTTCATGGAGGATTTCATCATGAGCTGACATCAGTTAGAGAACCACTGGAAGACCTGGGTGTACTGGACAACTGTTTCGTCCTAGTTCGGGACTCTTCAACAGCACGCACCCACCGGGATTCGAACCCAGGACCTTCTGACTACAAGGTGAACTCGAGTCCTAAGTTCGAACCCCGATGGGTGCGTACTGATGAAGAGCCCCAAGCTAGGACGAAACAGCTGTCCAACACTTCCAGTTTTTCCAGTAGTTCTCTAACTGATGTCAGCTCGTGATGAAATCCTCCATTCAGTCAAACAAAAACCCTACAAAACTAATACCTGAAAATTTTTTATATGTATTTGAGTTATCACATAATTGCCAACTGCTTGTCGTCAGTGCCCTGTACTGTTAATCATTTCAGAACTTACTCTAGAATGATGTGATGTGATTCATATTGACAAAGATAAGTCTTTGCTACACTCCTGTTACTCTACAATTTTTAGGGTATTGAACTGTTGAAAGACCTAGGTTTTGTGCCAATGTAAATATGCGTTTGATACCTCAGAAAATATTTTTTAATGTTTATTTGATAACTTGCTATGCTTTTTGTAATCTAAAGTATTAACCAAGTGCTCAAGTGCTTATTGATTTGAGATTTAAGTTTGTTCATGAATATGAATTTGTTCACCTCACTTTACAAATGTTATCTAAAATACTATGAGTTCTGTTGTTTCTTGGAGGGCTGCAAAACTTTTCTTGTAGTTCAGTATAATTGTACAACTTTAAATGATCACTTTTTAACGTCTATTTTCGTCTACTGTCATCAGTCATTTTTACCACTATCTATGACGTTATGTTCTATTACCTTCCCTTACTCACTTAATATGCTCTTCATTTCACTTGCTCCATCGACAGGACAAATGTTTATCACAACAGTGCTGTACTCATATTTTGTCTTCCTCGGTTGAATGGAATAGCTTTCAATCTCAGAACATTGTCTTGTCTCCTCGTGTGTTAGTCCGCAGCTCGTTCATCGTCTACATCCGATTGATTGATCATCGCTTTTTTGGCTAGCGTAAGTAATCTAGTAAAAGTTGTTAGTGAGTTAAAAATTAGAAGTTTATAACATTGTATGAATAGTGTGACCAATGAAACTGTATAATAAACAGTACTAACTACCTGGTCATTTTTGAAATTATGTTTAGCATCAAATGCATCCCGACTATTCTAGGAAGAATTCTAGAGTAACATTGTACTCTTGATAGCAGTATAATTAATTTAACTGTGTGATGAAGTGCATGTGTTTAGGCATCTCATATTTTCAAGAATTGTTTTTTTAGAGGTCTTAATAGGGATAGGCCGCAATGCAAGTTCAACACTCAATTACTGAAGGACCCAACTACAAAGGACACTTTCACTGCAACTGTCAGAGCAAAACAGGAAACACTACACGACAGCACTGAAGAATCATGCGTGGAAGAACATTGGAACTCTCTGAAGGCGATTCTCAACGAAACATGTTCAACGGTTCTAGGAAGAAAGAAGAGACAAGACAAGGAATGGCTCTCAACGGACACTTGGGAACTAATAGAAGAGAGGAGAATGGTGAAAGAGAAAATGATTCAATGCAAATACGGACAGGAGAAGGAGACACTGAGCTCAACTTACACAGCACTGGACAAAGAAGTGAAGAAGAGTGCTAGGAAGGACAAAAGACGATTCTACGACAACCTGGCTACTGAAGCTGAGAAGGCAGCAGGCAAAAGAGACCTGAGAACACTGTATCAGATAACCAAATCTCTATCCGGGAAGAGATCAACACAAGCGAAACCTATAAAAGACAGCCAAGGGAACCCAATTACCAAGGAAGAAAAACAGATTAAACAATGGGCGGATCACTTCAAAGGACTCTTGAACCGACCATCACCTGCAACCCGTCCAGAAATACCAACAACAGCGCGCACACAACTGCAAGTTGACACCAATCCTCCAACGAGAGCTGAAGTCTTGAATGCAATCAAGCTTCTGAAAGCTGGAAAAGCAGCTACTGGACCAGATGGAATACCCCCTGAAGCACTGAAAGCGGACCCAGAGACGACAGCAGACATGCTGACTCCATTATTGCAAAAGGTCTGGAAGGAGGGAAAGGTGCCTACTGACTGGAGGAAAGGTTACCTCGTGAAACTACCAAAGAAGGGCGACTTACGCCTCGCTCTGCAAGAACTGGCGAGGAATCATGCTCCTATCGACGCCAAGTAAAATCCTGAGTCGCATCATCCTGGAGAGATTAAAGGACGCACTGGAGACAGAACTCCGACCAGAACAAGCTGGATTCAGGAAAGGCAAATCATGTACTGACCAAATTGCAACTCTACGCATCATCATCACAGAACAAAGCATGGAATGGCAATCAAACCTCTACCTCAACTTTATAGACTTTGAGAAGGCCTTCGACAGCGTTGATCGTGAAGTAATTTGGAAATTACTCGAGTACTATGGCGTACCCCAAATATTCATCAATCTCATTCCACAACTGTCAAGTGATCCACAACGGAAAACTCAGCGAGGCGTTTGGAGTAAACACAGGAGTCAGACAAGGGTGCTTATTATCACCAATGATATTCCTAATTGTGGTTGACTGATTGGATTATGCGTCAGACAGTGGGAAACGAGAAGACAGGAATATCCTGGACTGACGCGAAGAACCTAGAAGACCTGGATTTCGCGCGTGGATGATTTATGTTTGATGTCACACAAAATCGAAGACTTACAAGCGAAAACCGACAAACTGGTCGAAGAAGCAGCCGGCGAAGACAGGACTCCAGGCGAGCATAGACGAGACGGGGGTTATGAAAATAACCAACCAACAACAACAACAGCAGCAACATCCAGCGTCAATCACCATCAACGGGAGAGGTTTGAAAGAGGTTACTTCATTCACTTATATAGGTAGGGAGCATTGTCTCAACTACAGGCAGTTGGAACGGACGAGGATGTCAAATCGAGCGAGAATCGGGAAGGCGAGAAACACATTCATCAACCTGAAACCAATCTGGAAATCTTCGTCACTCAGCCAGAATCAACAACAAAATTCGGTTGGATTTTCAATACAAACGTCAAGTCAGTCAGCTCTTCTATACGGATGAGAAACTTGGCAGGTGGGTCACAAAGAATATTTCCAACAGCCTGTTGCAGACCACCTTATCAACCAACAACTGTCTTCTCTGGATCTACACTGAAGATCAGATGGCCGGGCTGGAAATGATCACCAACAAGAAACTATGGCTGGGAACAAACAAAACAAGAACCAATCGCCAACCAACAAATGTGCAGGAGAAAGTGGAGATGGATTGGACACTGGCTGGGGAGGCCGGTTGGTGACATCGCGCGCGCGTCAGGCCATTGCTCGAGTGGAACCAGGCCGAAAGGGAAGCGGCGAGTTGGACGTCTAAGAGTGACATGGAGGAGTTGGTGTGAAGAGGAGTTGAAAGAGTATGGACTAACATGGATTCAGGTGAAAAGTGCAGCAGAAGGAAGACAGAAGCAAGTGGAGACGTTCAGTTGAAGCCCTATTTTCTACCAGGAACCCAAGGGAGCAATAATAAATAATAATAAATATGGAACTATAGTAGCTACTAGTAGATCATAGTTCACTGAACGAATAATATCGTAGATATGTTGTAATATGCTGAGATGTAAAATTTTTGAGTCTAAATGATAAATCAGTTACACTTTGCAATGAACTTCCAGTGCTTCGACAATATAGAAATAATCCAGAAAAATTTCAGAAATCACAAAGTACGTCTAATATCA